AAAATCATGATTTTGGTTGGAATACCCAGGAACCCATTAAGTGTGTGTTTTTTTTTTAATTAAAAAAAATTTCTTGTTAGAGCTGGAACCCATACTACTAAGTGAAGTATCCCAAGAATGGAAAAACAAGTACCAGATATATTCTCCAGCAAACTGGTATTAACTGAGTAGCACCTAAGTGGACACATAGGTACTACAGTAATAGGGTATTGGGCAGGTGGAGCTTCAACAAGCAAGGGCTGCTAGGCTGGGAAAGCTGAGGACCTGCCCCTGCCAACGTGGCTCCTACTGTCCAGGTGATATCATCCAAGCTCAGCAACTGTTTTTGCTTCTCAAATATCTGCTCTCTACTCTTAGGTTAGGGTCACTGCTTTGAGTTGTCCAAAAATCTGCTTATCGCCCATGTAAAAGTGCTTGTTTTGGGCTGGGATCGGTGGGTCATGCCTGTAATCCTAGCATTCTAGGAAGCCGAGGTGGGAGGTTTGCTCAAGGTCAGGAGTTCAAAACCAGCCTGAGCAAGAGCGAAGACCCCTGTCTCTAGTACAAATAGAAAGAAATTAATTGACCAACTAAATATATATAGAAAAAATTAGCTGGGCATGGTGGCGCATGCCTGTAGTCCCAGCTACTTCGAAGGCTGAGGCAGGAGGATAGCTTGAGCCCAGGAGTTTGAGGTTGCTGTGAGCTAGGCTGACCCCACAGCACTCTAGCCCGGGCAACAGACTGAGACTCTGTCTCAAACAAAAAAATATATATATAATAAAATAAAAGTGCTTGTTCTTTATTACTGTTTCCATTTCTTCCTCCTTGGGGACTATTTTTTTTCCTATGAATTTTGTTTTGCTCTGCAAAGGTCCAACACCAATGTGACTTTTCACAGGGTCTCTGTGAGATTCTGAGGCTTTCCTGCATAAGATCTTGGTTTTATTTATTTATTTTTTATGTTGGCAATTATTGTGGGGCACTACTGACTCTCATCATGTTGCATCCTACTTGGAGACATCATGTGTGCTATAAATACTAATTATATGTTCTACTGATTCATGTAGCTATCTCCTCTCGCCACTTCCCGAGTTATGGTGCTACAAGATTCCGAGCATTCAGCCCTTCCTCCAAGTTTCTGAGATTAAGGACTCACTTTGGAAAGACTGACAGACATCTCCATCGTGAGACCTCAGGCTATGGGGTTCAAATCCCACTGGGTAAGGCGCCTAGGAAAGACCACCTCAAACAAAGAGACAGGTGATGCCCAAGTGGCCTTCAGGACAGTGCCAGGGATGCCTGGGCCCAGTGGTCTCTACTGGCTTTGTGCACATTTTGGGTTCTTATTTTCTTCCTCTGCTTTGTCCTCTTATAATTCCAGCTAATAAATGGCAAGTCGCCACTTCCTTTCCTACTGTCCTGACTCCCTGCTCTCAGGGACAACCTATTTCTCCCTTTTTGCAACTCCTCTGCAGTTTACATCCACTTTTGGTACAAAAGCCCCTCCAGCTGCTACTCGAAATTTTAAGTACACCCTGGGCCTCCCTAATGAGGCTCACCTTACTTCCAGGGAATTTTGTGTAAAACCTCTTGAATATACCAAACAAGGAAAATTCAGAGTCCAAATAGACAATCTGCCACCACAGAGTTAAAACGTGGAGTCTGGAGCTCAGTGTCTATCCCTCTATCTTCTTTTCTGCGGACTTTAACTGTGCAGTGGGTACTACCTGGGTTTTGCAGACAACAGATCACTGGATGTGAGATGACTAATTCAGTGCACTAATTAGGCCAGAATTCTGGGCTATCATATAAACTTTGAAAACTCATTTCAAGCTCATCTAAAGTGAAAAATACAAGTAAAGGAGGCTTGTCTTAAAAAAAAATCAAACTGCCATGGAACCTGCTTTGCCTACAACTTTGGTCCTCAGCTTTCATTATATCACCTACTGGGTCAAGTCAAGTTCAGCCATGTAAACAAGTTACAATTTTGCCAGAAATAATTTGCATCCAACCACTTTTGCAAAATGGTGAATTTATATTGTTATCTCAAGACTGAAATTCAGAGGTAAAATCTATTAGATGTTTGTGTACATAGCTGTACATATGTTTAAATGTATTTATGTGTATGTACATTGTTGTATATTGTGTTTCCATGGTAACAAATTGACTTACAAAGCTGTGCTCATCAATTAAGTAAATAAGGCTAAGTGCTTTTTAAGTTCATGCTAGTTTTTTAAACTTTTTGCTGGAACAAGCTAGTTATTAAAAGGAAAAGTTATATTTGTAAAGTAAAACAAATGTCTGCAAATTGCAGCAACATTGTTGCCAGAGTTTGAGTCATTTTCACCTTTCCCTCTGCTTATGTTTTAAGGTTATCGAAGGTTTAATACAAGGATTATAAAACTATAAACCCAGACAAACCAAAATGGACCTGTGTTTATGTGATTTTTTCATAAGTAAGACTAATTGAATACTGGGTAGCTTAATGAAAACAGCGATCTTTCTGAGTTATCCAGAGAAACACTGCATGTGTTTGTGTTTTATGTAATACACACAGCTATAAAACAGTTAACGGGAAATAACTTAAAATAATAACTAAGATCTAAGTAACTTGCTAAAACAGATAAACGTGAATAAATGTAATAAAATAGATGCTTATAAAAAATAATTTGAAATTTCCTGCTTCTTAGGTTTTACTAAAATGTAAGGCTATTAAGAATAAAAATTCGTAGGCCGGGCACGGTGGCTCACGCCGGTAATCTAGCACTCTGGAGCCGGAGAGGGGTGACTGCTCGAGGTTGGGAGTTCGAAACCAACCTGAGTGAAACGTCTCTACTAAAAATAGAAAGAATTAATTAACCAACTAAAATAATATATTAGAAAAATAAATTGCGGCATGGTGGCACATACCTGTAGTCTCAGCTACTCGGGGAGGCTGAGGCAGCAGGATTGCTTGAGGCCAGGAGTTTGAGGTTGCTGTGAGCTAGGCTGATGCCACGGCACTCACTCTAGCCTGGGCAACAGAGTGAGACTCTGTCTCAAAAATAAACTAAAAATAAAAATTCTAGTCAATATATGTGATTTTATATATATATATAGTATACAAAAGATAAGATTTGTTTTTATTAAAATAATAAAAGATTATAGAAGAGGTGTACAATGTGTCCTTATTGAAAAAGGGGTAATTCCGACTGATTCAAAGTCTGCTTAAAAAAAAAATGGTAGAAGGGAACCTGTAAATGGACAGAGAGAGGGGGATGTTCAGGGTTGCGGATATAAAGATACATTTTTGGTAAGTTTTGGCAAGAAAAAAGAATGATTTAATATAAAGAAATAATCTTGTATAGTAAATTTTTATGCTAAAATAAACTGGTTATTTAAGAAAGGGGAAATTAAGGACAAAACAGAAAGGCCAAGTATGTCATACATGGTCTATGTAAGTTTTAATAAGATTAATGAAAGAAAGCCAGGCACAGTGGCTCAGACTGACTGTAATCCTAGCACTGTGTGTGGCCCAGGGGGGTGAATTCTTGGAGCTCAGGAGTTCAAGACCAGTCTGAGCAAGTGAGATCAGTCTGAGCAAGATCGAGACTCCGTCTCTACCGAAAAAAATAGAAAAAATTAGCCAGGTATGGTGGCACATGCCTGCAGTCCCAGCTACTCGGGAGACTGTGAGGCAGGAGGATCGCTTGAGCCCAGGAGTTTGAGGTTGCTGTGAGCTAGGCTGACGCTATGACACTCTAGCCGGGGAAACAATGAGAATCTGTCTCAAAAAAAAAAAAAAAAAGATTCATGAAAAATTTATAAAGGAATTTTGTATGTGATCAAATTAGCTATAATCTCATTAATAAATTTTTTTTTGTTAAAACAAGGTTTTCTTAAGGTATTGATTTGCTCTTAATAAAACTGCAAAAAGTTCTGATTCTAATTCTATAATATGCTTCTTTTTTTAAAATTTTTTTTCCCTGGAGGGCCCTCTGGATGCAGGCTATGCATGCCTGAGTCCTGCCCCTAGCCCCAGCAGGAAAGGGAAGCCCTGGGATTCCCTCCTGAGCCAATCACAGGTCCGCCCTGGCTACGCTGCCTGCTTTGGGCTCTTTCCAGCAGAGGGCAAGGTTGCAGTCCCAGAAAAGACACAAATTCTAAAATTCTCCCTGGAAATTCGTAAACTTTGGGTAAAATTGCACACAGTGCAATTACCTCTTGGCTCCAGCCTTTCCTGCTCTCGGTCCCCTGTTCCTGGGACGGGACACCCGCCATCCTCTGCATCCACCCACCCTTCGCCCGTCCAGGTGCAGGGGACCTACCTTCTGTCACTCCCAGGCTCTGCTCTGGGTACTGGAGAGTGGCAGAGCTGGCCCCAGGCCTGTCAGCCTCCGGATTCCACCCTGGCGGGCCCTCCCTGGAAACCCTTCCCTGCCTCCCCCCATCCAGGCCCGCAGGAACACAGCAGAGGGTAACCTCATCCTGGTTGGGGTCGGGGGTTGCCAGCCCAGAGCCAGCCAGGCCTCAGGGTAGGAATGATTCCCTCCTACTCCCATTGGGGGTGGCCGGCCCCACGCGCATGCGCACAGCGGCCGCCCAGTGGTCCAGGGAGGCTCCGCCCCGGAGTGGGGCGGGGGAGGGCCCCTCTGCAAGCCCCGCCCCCTCCCAGACTCAGCGCGCAGGTGGCGTCCCGCCTCTTCACTCGGACACGCATGCGCCTGCACGCCCCGCTCACGAGAACTGCCCGCCGCGACACCCCAAAGCCCCCGGAACCCCGGCTGAGCCCGGCAAGACGCGTGCGCGCTCTCCTCGCTGGCCGGCAGTCCCGGGTTCCAGCGCTTCTCGCTGGGCCTGCGACGCGGCTTCCCCTCCTGGACCAAGGGCGCCCTACCTGGGTGGGCGGGCGCGCAGCAGGCGGACAGGCGGCAGTATCATCTGCTTCTTTTAACCCTTTGCACTCGGAGTGTGACTTGACACGGTTAGCAAAAATTATAGAGGTTAAAATTGCTCTTTGAATGCATCAATAATTTGAAATATAAAAAAATCCAAAAAAATAAGTTTGTACGAAAAGAAACTCCAGTTTTTTTATTCTACTGCCACGCTTTGTAAAATCTGGGGTATTTAAACAATTAAATCCCGAGTAAAATAAAGGAATCGAGAAAAAAGCAAGCGAGTGGAAAGGGTTAAGACTGCACACTTATATCTCAGAAGTTCAACTTTTGCTCCACCTTGCTGTTTTCAGCCTTTTCTCTCCTTGAGAAGGCCTGAGATGGTAACCCTCTCCTTCAACGTTTTTGGTGGTCCCTGTAACTTTCTTCCTCCCTTTAGATCTGGTTCTAAGTCTGCTGTTAATGTCTGAGACTAAAATGTTTATGTTAAAGGTCTAAAAAGCAATGTTTTTTTTTTTAGTTGCTTGATATATCTGAATTGCTCAATATGATAAAAGAAAAAATCTTTGTATGCTATTACTAAGAGTTGCACATTCCCCCCTTCTCAAGGTACTACTTTTCTAGTTTCTTCTTGCCTTTATAATAACACTCACCCATGACCCTAACAGTCTACTTATCTCTGATCCTTTCTATGAGGTTTGCCTTCAAAGTTGCCCAAATTTGTTTCCCATGAGAAAAAGTAATCGTACTAAAGATTTTTTTTTTTTTTTTACTTTTTAGTAACTGGGCTAAGAATCAAAGATTTTATGTTTTATCAAGCTAATGTTTGTTGTCTTTATTAGGTTTTTGATTACTTGGGAAACCTGTGTCGAATAGGTTAAGGTTTTCCTGGGCCAGGACCAGTGGCTCAGGCCTGTAATCCTAGTACTCTGGGAGGCCCAGGTCTGCAGATCATTAGAGCTCAGGAGTTTGGGACTAGCCTGAGCTAGAGCGAGACCCCCATCTCTACTAAAAATAGAATCGAATTAGTTGGACAACTGAAAATACATAGAAAAAAATTAGCCAGGCATCCTGGCACACGCCTGTAGTCCCAGCTACTCAGGAGGCTGAGGCCCAGGATCGCTTGAGCCCAGGAGTTTGAGGTTGCTGTGAGCTAAGCTGATGCCATGGCACTGTACCTGGTCAACAGAACAAGACTCTTCTCAAAAACAAAGAATCAGGAGGGTGAAATCTGTCAGGGGGTAATTGATAAGGGAAACCCCCACCTATTACTGGGGCATCAGGCACCGGAGACTCCCACCACTCTAAGAAGACCCAAGTCAGCATAATACTAACCTGTTACCTGGCTGTCAACTAGTCTATTGCCTGGCATCAGCATAACACTAAATCTATTGCCTGGCGCTATGGAAAGGAAAATTACCAGGTAGACAATACTTAGTATGGGATGGGAGGTGGGAGGAGTAGTTGAGTGGAAACTATGTTAAAAACAAAATGTAGCTCAGGCATCCTCAAACTACAGCCCACCGGCCACATGCGGGCGTTTTTGCGCGTTTTTTTTACTTCAAAATAAGATATGTGCAGTGTGCATAGGAATTTGTTCATAGTTTTTTGTAAACTATCATCCAGCCCTCCAACGGTCTGAGGGACAGTGAACTGGTCCCGTTTAAAAAGTTTGAGGACCTCTGAGTAGCTAATCGGCAACTTACAAGAGGACGTAGGTAACCGCAAATCTCCGGCTTCCGTAACAAGCTTGCTTGCTTTGCAGTGCAGGGGTCCACCCAAGGGGTATGAAACCCCCAGGCTGAGAAACTTCGGGGCTGCTCTCCCTCCTTGCATGGAGTGGTGACAGCCCCTGAGCAGGAATAAATAAAATTTGGCTGATTGGATTTTGGGGTCCAAGTCCCCTTGATCTGGTGGTTTATAACGGCGCATCAACGTAATATTAACGTTATTATCTGATACAACATACCCCACCCCTTGGACCACCCCAACTTAATAAAAGTGGGAAAAATCGGGCAGGGGGTGCTCAGAATTTGGTGGCGGGACCCCTCTGAGCCCGCCTGTGAAGAAACTGTGATTCTCCCTCTCTCCCTGTGCCACTCGGTTTGTCCTCGGGACCACCCGCTGTACTGTCACGGCAAGTGTACAGCTAGTGTTACAGCTCTTGACTGGGGAAAGAACTCAGTGGCACATGAAGAGTCAGAGAACAGTCTTTATTCTTGCGGCAGGCTCAACCCAGCAAGTGTTACAGCTCTATTGGCATCTTCCGATCTTCTGCCCACTCCTCTTCCTTGTTCTCCTCCTGCTTTTATACCCTTGGTAGGGCTCAAAAAGCGTCCAATCAACTACAAGCTTTAACATCCAATCAACATCAAGCTTTAACATCCAATCAGCAACAAGCTTTAACATCCTGCCAGATGACAGGAGGTGGCTGAGCACCGAGCCAGCATGTGGGGCCCAAAGCTGACACGTGGGCCCTGGGCGGCTCTACTGCGGGGCTGGTCCCAGCAGTGTGCCCTCCATCCTGCCACGCATAGCGCCAGTCCGCGGAGTGACAGGGAGACGGCAGCCGGCTCCCGGCGCGTGACGTTTTACATGTCAGTAACACTTGCTCTAACATGATGCGACAGTACAAGGACAGGACTAGGGCCTCACTTCTGACCAATGGGGCAACATGGCACAGCATGATCCAGCCTAGTGAACTAAAGAAGAATAAAACAAAAACAACTGACTTCCTATCTGCTGGAATTCACCACACACCCACATGGGGGCGGACGGTAAAACGTTTGTCTATTTTGTCTATCCAGTCGTATTTTCTGAGAGCACTGAAACAAAATGCTGACAGTAGCTGACAAGAACCTGGCTGCAAAGAAACCAGACCTATCTGGATCTAACCACCTCAAGCCAAAAAGAATCCCCACACTGCCCTTACCCTGCCTTTCCCTCATTATAATCTCATTTTGATGCTAAAAATCACACCGGAAGAAGAGATTTAACATGCTGTTGAGACATGCCACACGCGAAGCAGCATGTAATAGAACTAGGCGGGCATGAGAAAATCTCCACCTCTGTATGCTCACATGTCACTCTTTTCCTGCCTAAACCTCTTTAAAACTCTCCCTGAATTCCTCTCCAGGAGGGAGCCTCAGGACTTTTCCCCCCAGTGCCTAGCTTGCCACTCCCATTCTGCTTCTTGCTGATTTCTCCCAAGGCTTTCCTGCATAAGATCTGTTTTTTGTTCTTTTTTTTATATTGGCAATTCTTGCCCGCCACCACTGACTCTTATCATGCCACATCCTACACAGTCACTATATGTGCCTTATAAAAATTATTTATGTGTTTTAGTGATATATCTAGCACTCTGTGAAGCAGTACCCAGTTATAGAGCAGGAAGGGAAAGTAACGGTGCTCCTGTCCCCCTCTCCTCTCCCTGCGAGCTCACAGGAAGCAGGACATCAGTCCAAGTTCACTCCACGCTTCACAGGATGACTCAGCTAGACAACATAAAAGCTTCATTTTTTTTTGGTTAGTTTGTTTTTTTAGCTTTTCCCTCATAGGGCTTGCCATTTTAGAACCCAGTAGTATACAGAGTAATTACATAACAAGCCAGGATCATGGTAGTAAAATGACCAATGCTGATTGTGAAATTCACCACTCTGCTGTTTAAACAAAAGTAACATAACAATGGAACCCGCTCTCACAGTAGAAAAATTAAGACTATGCAAAAGTGAAAAAAAAAAGTGTTTTGCCAGGGTAGCCATGGGACCATTTAATCTTGGCAAATGGAATTTGCAAATGCTGTTAGACTAGAAACAAACAGCTCAAGAGAGGGACATCGCTATTCTTAAATTCCTAAGTTTCTCTAAGATGGAAGTCCACAACATTTGTTTTACTGTTTGGCAAGGGTAGCCATGGAGACATTTAATCTGGCAAATAGAAGGAATTTGCAAATGCTCTGTTAGATTAGAAACAAGACAGCTTGAGAGAAGGGGCAGCATTATTCTTAAATTCCTAAGTTTCTCTAAGATGCAAGTCCACATACACTTGTACTGTCCTATACATGTAGATTCATTTGCAACTTCGAGACTGTAAACCTTGCTCAGCCTTGGTCCCACAAACATTGAAAAAGTAACAGGAGGAGGAGGAGAAAGAAGAGGATGAGGAGGGAGAAGAAAGAATAAGAGGAAGGAGAAAGAGGAGGAGGAGGAGAAGGGCAAAGAGCACACCACTTGGTATCCAATTGCAAATAACTCATGTGAACAATACGCTAATGTCTATGTACGAATATGTACCGGTAAATTTAGATCCTAATCAGTAGGCGTTGGTAACTCCTATTTAACTGTGTAAAAGATTGCGTATAAGCTCCAACAAATGCGTGGCGGCATTTTGAAATCGCCTATACTATTGTCACTGTCATTTTTCTCACACCATCCAAGTCACTGCCCTTGTTTTCTAAATTCCCGAATCTTATCTTTGTTTAAGATATTTTTTCAGGAACGACTAAACAGTGCTTGGATTGTCTCCTGAGCACACTAAGAAGGCACAGTAAGAACATAAAGTACCTACACAAAGTAACACGTTTAAACATGCTCTTCTGGTGAAGCAGACACAAGAATATTTAGGAAGGTTCTTAAGGTCAGTACTAACCTGACAAAGTCCTGGCTGTGTCTCTGCTCAGCTCCTGCAGGCCAGATCCTGGGCTGTGCCAGCTGCTTAAATGCTGGGACACTCCTGCCTGCTGAGCTGGGCCGGCCCAACAGGGAACAGCCACTCCCACAGCATTGAAGACTCCAGAGTTCCATGCTGGACTACAAAGTAAGATAGTCAACAATGTTTCATTTCAAGGCTATCCAGAAATGCACAATAAGGGATTTCAAATCTATCTGGCTGCCTCCGAAAGTCCCTGGAGAACAGGCTTCTTTGAACACTGTTTAAGGAGGATCTCATTAAATAGGCTGCAGGTTTAGGGCAGGTTTAGGTTTATGAGAAACCTTGTAGGGGACAGTGGCATAAGAGGGTGTTGTCAGGAAAGGAGATTGGAGAGAGAGAATGGGGAGATTGCAGCTATGTTTATAAATAGGACTTGATGAATGCTGCTGCAAAACTCTACAGACTGGAAGAATATAATAGAGTTGTTCTGGCCCTGAGTGGGAAGACCTCAGCTGCAGTACCTGGGGTCACTGGCGGATCCTTCTCTATTGGGAACATGTTGGCCTTTCTCTCTAGCCCAGGGCCCTGGATGCACTGTTTCTTCTGCTGGGAACATGCTCTTCTCCCCTCCTCCCAGGCATCCCATCCTTGCTCTGTCCTATCACTCTTCCCACATTCTGGGTTGAAATTCTGCATTTCCCCTGCTCTGGCCTGTCCCTGTGGCTGACCACAGTGTCCGCATATGGCAGGGGCTCAATGTGTATATGTGATTTCTCTATTTGTAATGGAAATGGTCTAACATACAAACATAGAAATAACAGTGCAATGAGCTTGATGTACCCATCCCCTTGCTTCAACTACTGTTGCAGCAATGTGTACAGCTAGTGTTACAGCTCTTGTTACAGCTCTTATTCGTTTGACCAGGGAAAAAACCAAGCAGCACACGAAGAGTCGAAGAGTCAGAGAACAGCCTTTATTCTTCTACAGCAGGCTCAGCACACCTAGTGTTACAGGCCTCTTCCCATCTTCTAATCTTCTGACCCTTCCACCCCTTCTGTTCCCCTTTCCTTGTTCTCCTCCTGCTTTTATACCCTTGGTGGGGCTCAGAAAGCACCCAATCAACTACAAGCTTTAACATTCAATCAGCATCAACCTTTAACATCCAATCGACAACAAGCTTTAACATCCAATCAAAAACAGTGGGATTTCAAAAATTACCCAATCAGGATCACACAAGCAGTGTGGCCGGAAACAGGCAGCAGTACGTGGGCCTGGAGGCATTCCGGCATGCAGGGGTCCGGCCCCAGCAGCGTGCCCTCCAACTGGCCAAGTGCAGCGCTGGCCCGCAGAGATGCGGAGCTAAGGGGAGGTGGCGAGTGGCTGCGTCCCGGCACCCCACATTTTCTTCATCACTACCATCAGCAATATTTGAAGCAAACCCCAGACTTTATCTTATTTCATCAATAAATAATATAATGTCTATCTTTGAAACATTTTTTTTGGAAATATTTACATTACAGAAAAATTGCAAAACTGGTACAGAGTTTCCAAATACCCTTCACACAGTGTCTTCTCATGTTAACATCTTACATAACCATATTTTAATACAAGGATCAAAACCAGGAATTTTTCACTTATAAGTTATATAATACTATTAAGTAACTGTAGCCCTTACTTGGATTTCACCAGTTTTTTAAGCAATGTCCTTTTCCTATTTCAAGATCCCATCTGGGACCCCACACTGTATTTTTTTTTTCCCCCAGACAGGGTCTTGCTCTGTCACCCAGGCTGGAGTGCACTGACAAGATCAGACCTCCCTGAAGCCTCCAACTCCTGGGTTCAAGCAATCCTCCCTTCTCCACCTCCCCAGGTGCTAAAGTTACAGGCTGAGCCACCATGCCCAGCCCCAGCACTGTCACTATGTCTCTTTAGTCACCTCCAATCTGTGACACTTCCTCAGTCTTTCCTTGTCTTTCATGATCATGGCACTTTTGAAGATTCTTGGTCAGTTATTTTGTGGAATGTACCTCAGTTTGGGTCTATCTGCTGTTTTCCCATATTTGGGGTTGAGTTTATACATTTTTTTGCAAAGCATCACAGGAGTCATACCGTTCCCTTCTCAGGATTCCATTTCCAGAAAGAATATCACACCCAGGACATAGTATGTCTTATTAATGGGGATGTTAACCTTGATCCCTTGGTTAAAGTAGTGTCTGCCAGGTTTGTCAACTGTAATGTTACTATTTATCCCTTTGGAATTAATAAATATCTATGGGAGATGCTTTATGACTATGCAAATACTCTGTTTCAGAATAAGTTTCCACCCTCTAACTTTAGTATCCACTATGGCTCTCGTCTGCAGCAAACCCTACTGTCATGTTTGTCTAATGGTGATTTTCTGTTTCCCTCACCCCATCTACACTTAATGATTGGAATTCTTCTGTAAAGAACATCTACATCTACCCTTTCTCCTTCCTTTCTCTCCACACCCCACCCCTGTCTGTCTACCTGTCTGTCTGTCTCTCTCTTCCTCTAATCATTTCATTACTGACTTATAGCAGTATGTATAACTTAAGACCAGTTCCTGGTGTGACTACAAGCTACTTACCATTTCAATAAATTCCCTCCAAGGAAAGGGCTAGTGCCAAGATAGGGAAAAGCTAATCGCACACATTGCAGGGCCAGGGCTCCCTACTAGATTGGAAGAAAAATGCCAAGTCATCTTCTTGGCACAAAAGACCTGGTTAATATGTTCCTTTTCAAGGTTGGCGATAAAAGTTTAAACAAACAAAAAAAATCAGCTATTAATTGATTTTGCTTTCTCTGCAAGGCTGCAGAGGCTGGCTTTCTATCTTTTTAGTCTTAATTATTATGGGCACATAGTTGTGTATTTTTATAGGGTACATGTGATGTTTTGATACAGGCATACGATGTGAATTGATAAAATAAGGGGTATTTGAGTATCCATCACCTCAGGCATTTATCATTTCTTTGTGTTAGGCACATTCCAATCCCAATCTTTCAGTTATTTTAAAGTATACCCTAACTTATTGTTGATTATAGTCACTTTGCTGTGCTGTCAAATATCGTTCATTCTATCTAACTATCTAACTATATTTTTGCACCCATTAACCACCCCATCTCTCCCTCTCTGCTACCCTTCCCAGCATCTGGTAACCATCATTCTACTCTCTGTTTCCATGAGATCAATTGTGCTTAATATTTAGCTCCCACATATGAGTGAGAGCATGCAAGATTTGTCTTTCTGTGCTTGGCTTATTTCATTCAATATGATGTTCTCCAGTTCCATCCACGGTGTTGTAAATGGTAGGATTGCATTCATATTTGTGGCTATATCATATTCCATTGTGTATATATACCACAATTTCTTTATCCATTCATCCACTGATGGACACTTATGCCGATTCCAAATCTTGGGCTAATGTAAATATCACTTCAATACACATGGGAGGGCAGATATCTTTTCAATATATGAAATTCCCATCCTTTGGATATATACCTGGCAGTGGGACTGCTGGGTCATATGGGAGTTCTATTTTAGCGTTTGGAGGAAATTCCACACTGTTCTCCATAGTGGACGCACTGATTTAGATTCCCACCAACAGTGTGCAAGTGTTCCCCTTTCTCCACATCCTCTCTAACGTTCATTATTGCCTATCTTTTTGATAAGAGCCATCTAACTGGGGTGTGAGGATGTCTCATTGTAGTTTTGATTTGCATTTCTTTGATGATTAAAGATATTAAGCACTTATTCATATACCCCTTGGCTATTTGTATATCTTCTTTTGAAAAATGTCTATCCAGATCCTTTGCCCATTTTTTAATAAGACCCAGTGTTTTTCTTATTGAGTTGTTGGAGCTGCTCATATATCCTACTTATTAATCTCTTGTCCGTTGGGTAGTTTGCAAATATTTTGTTTCATTCCATGGGTTGTCTCTTTACTTTCCTGATTGTTCCCTTTGCTGTTCAGAAGCTTTTTAGCTTGATGTGGTCCCATTTGTCTAGTTTTGCTTTGGTTGACTGTTTGGGAGGGTATTACTCAAGAAGGCCTCGCCCAGAACAATGTGCTAAACCATTTCCACAAAGTTTCATTTTACTAGTTTCATACCACATTTCCCCGAAAATAAGACCTACCCATTAAATAAGCCCTAGCAGGATTTCTAAGCATTTGTGCAATAGAAACCCTACCCCGAAAATAAGACCTAGTGATGGGCGTGGCTACGCAGTGTACCTGCACAACCCATGCATTTCGTCACAGGGCGGTAAAGAAGATGAGCAGCCCTTCTCATCTGCCCCACTGTGACAGCTACTATCCCGAGGTGACAGGAAAGGTGTGGCAGCCCCACCAACAAGGTCGGCTCCCCCTGTCAGGTCCCGGCCATCCTGTGCGTGCTGCAAGCTGAGGCTTTGCGGGGAAAGTCTCCTCACTGAAGTGAGGAGCAGGATGCTCTGCTTTGGGTATTGTGTGTCCCCAGGGGGAAGAAGGAAAGCTGTGGCTGCCATTTTACTCAGCACTGTGGGCCTCTCTCACCCCCCACAAACACCAGGGAATAGGGGAAAAGCTTCAGCAGCCAGTCTCCTACTGAGCCCAGAGAGATCATTTCTGCTCCACTGCGCAGACTGGACCCAGTGCTCACTGGATCTCGGATAAATAAGCCAGCCCTGGCTCATTTAATGAGAGCTCTATTGCTCGACATGAGAGACTAGGGCCAATGGTTCTAAAGGAAATAGAGTTGCAAATTCAGGATGGGATTCGGGGTTTGGAGAGTTATGATGATGTTCCAGAAGAAGACGACTTAACTATATTTGAATAAATGTAGATTGTTGTACCGTACTTAAAAAAAAAAAATAATAACACATCCCTTGAAAAGAAGCCCTAGAGTCTTCTTGAGGAAAAATAAATATAGCACCCTGTCTTATTTTCGGTGAAACACGGTAGTTTCAGATCTTAGATTTAAGTCTTTAATCCATTTTGATTTGACTTTTGCATATGGTGAAAGATAAGGGTCTAGTTTCATTCTTCTCTGCATGTGGATGTACAGTTTTGCCAGCCCTATTTATTGAAGAAACTGAGATTGGTCTTTTATTTTTATTTATTTTTATTTTTTTTGAGACAGAGTCTCGCTTAGTTGCCTAGGCTAAAGTGAGTGCCGTGGCGTCAGCCTAGCTCACAGCAACCTCAAACTCCTGGGCTCAAGCAATCCTTCTGCCTCAGCCTCCCAAGTGGCTGGGACTACAGGCATGCGCCACCATGCCCGGCTAATTTTTTCTATATATATTGTTTGGCCAATTAATTTCTTTCTATTTATAGTAGAGACGGGGTCTTGCTCTTGCTCAGGCTGGTTTCGAACTCCTGACCTCGAGCAATCCGCCCGCCTCGGCCTCCCAGAGAGCTAGGATTACAGGCGTGAGCCACCGCGCCCGGCCTGAGATTGGTCTTTTAAAGACACTCACTAGAGGATTTTCATGACTTGGATGCAAGAACTAAGGCAGACAACAAACCCCTACTGTGGGCATACATAGCCAGGAGGTGATGTCTGTAAAGGGCAAGCCGATGGCATTCTGGAAAACCTTTCTGATTGGGTTGCCAGATGAAATACAGGACACCCAGTTAAATGGGAATTTCAGGCAATTGTTAATTAGTAATTTTTAGTATCATTGTGTTCTAAACATTCTATGGAACACAATTATACTAAAATTTTTAAAACTATTTACCAGAAATTCACATTTACCTCGTATCCTGTGTTTCATCTGCCAGATCTTGCAACCATATTTGCACACTTTGTACTCCTCTGCCTTTCTCAGATTATTCTTGCTGGCCTCTCAGGACCTTTGTATCTTGTCTTTGTCCTGAATTGAATACTCTACCTTCACCTGGCACTATAGTTTCTCTATCTATCTTTCCTTATATTACTTTGACATTATGTATTTAATATCAGTTTCCCACATAGACTTTTAGCTCCTGGGGAAAGAGCTTCCAACTGTGTGAATCAAGTCCTCATAGTCTGCACAAAGCCTGGCCATAGTAGGAGCTCAATAAATAAGATAGTTTTTAAATTTCAATGGAAAAGTTCTAGCAAATACAAAAGTAGAGAAAATAATATAGCAAAAGCCAAATACCTATCACCCTATCACAGCAATTGTCAATAATCTTTTTTCATCTATATAATGTAGAGGGTAAAGTTATCTTGGTCCCTAAGAAAGACAGGTCCGTGTCCAAATCCCTGGATCTTGTGACTATGGCCTTATTTGGGGAAAGGCTCTTTTGCAGATGTATTTTATTAAAGAACTTGGAGCTAGGCATGGTGGCTCACGCCTGTAATCCTAGCACTCTGGGAGGCCAAGACGGGTGGATCACTCAAGGTCAGGAGTTAGAAACCAGCCTGAGCAAGAGCAAGAACCCATCTCTACTAAAAATAGAAAGAAATTAATTGGACAACTAAAAATATATAGAAAAAATTAGCCGGGCATGGTGGCGCATGCCTGTAGCTCCAGCTACTTGGGAGGCTGAGGCAGTAGGATGGCTTGAGCCCAGGAGTTTGAGGTTGCTGTGAGCTAGGCTCACACCATGGCACTCTAGCCTGGGCAACAGAGTGAGACTCTGTCTAAAAAAAAAAAAAAATATATATATATATATATATAGAGAGAGAGATAGATAGATAGATAGATAGATAGATAGATAGATAGATAGATATGTAGAACTTGGGATGAGATCATACTGGATTGTCTAGAAGGGCCCCAAACTCAAAGACAAGCTGTCCAGGTAACACAGAGAAGAAAAGATGTAGCAGCAGGAGCTGTGAGCTGGCTGTTTCCTTAAGGCTGAACGGGTGTGGAGGAAGGAAACCCTATTCTGACCTGACAGAAGGCCATCGGCTCGGCAGCCCGAGAAGTTGCAGTAAACAGCCATGTGTCCAGCGACTGCAGTCATGTGGGAGGTCTGGGAATGTTCTTTCAACAGAGCATTCTCAAAATATAGAGATTGGGGAGTAAAGGGCAATCTATTTCCTGGCCTTGAGTTCCCTGGTTCCTTCTTGAGTTGCCTGAATAAAAGCAACATGTGCACCAAGGACGGGACTCTTTGCTCTTAGCAGCATGGAGTCCCCTGCGCCCACTTGTCCTGATAATTGGCTACTTTGTCTTCATTTCTGCAGAGCTGCGTGGTTCTCACCAAAACTCAGCAAAAAGACACAGACACTCAGAGAGTGAGGTGCTGGAAGACAGAGGCAGATATTAGAGTGATGCGGACAGAATCCGTGGGAGTCAAGAAATGCCAAGAGTGACCAGAAGTTGAAAGTTCAAGGAAGGAACTTTAATCTAGAATTTGCAGAGGGATGTGGCCCTATTGACACCTCGACTTCAAATTTCTGGCCTTCAGAACTATAAGAGAACACATGTATGCTGTTTCAAGCCACCTGCTTTATAGTAATCTGTGACGGGAGCCATGAGAAACTAAGACAAATTGTCACCTATTCCCTCCACTACCAAGGGAATATCTTGAAGCAAATTTCAGATACCATAGCACCTTGTCTATAAATAACATTTAGCTCCCAAAAGTAAGCATTTCTTTGTTAAAGAGGACAACATCAAAATTTTGAAATTCCTTAATTTGTTCAAATATTCAGCATTCTAATCCACCATGCAGATTTCTTTGCAATACGTTTATTTTCCTCAGCATCCAAGCAAGGTCTGTACATAGCATTTGAGTGATGTGAATAAATGTGCTTTATAGAAATGGAGTCTACACCAGGTGCATGAGGGTTTGTGAGCTCTCCAAGCCCAGACTGGGGTCCCAGGTCCTGGAGGTGCACATGGAGCTGGGCAGGTGTCACATCATTGGCGATGCAGCCCTGGGGACCCAGCAGGCCATGCCCCACCGCTGGAGCTCACAGGACAGGAGTGGACACAGTGGCCCCAAGTGTCGACAGAGGCTTCCAGGGCTCTGTGGAGGGCAGAGGAGAGGCCACGAGGTGGGGAGGGGGAAGCGTGACCAGGTGGGAAGGAGCTTGCCAAGCAGGGCTGGCAAATGTGCCCAGGCAGGAAGGCAAGAGGCCCTGCCACACTCTGTGGGTGACAGGCTGGAGATTAGGGGGTGAGGAGGGGGACAGGACCCATTCTGCCTGCAATGGGGACTCACTGGAGAATTTCAGAAAGGTGGTGATGCTTAGATTGTATTTTAGAAAAACCACTCCCGGTGCCAGTGGAGAAGATACTAGAGGGAAGTGACACTGCAGTCAGGGAGCCTGGAGAGTCTGTCTGCCCCTCACCCCCTTCTCACTGCGGGGGGCTCCCCCTGAGAGCAGGAGGGCTCAGTGTGCACAGCCCAGACCCCCCAGGGGAGACACCAGCATTGTGGGCCCAGCATGGGGCTGAAGCTAGAAATGTCTCTTAACTCAAGCAGTCTGGCCCGGTGACAAGCAGGGAAAAATGATTTTACATGTATTTATTTATATGTATTAATAATTCACATGCATAGTGTGTAATTTTGAAGCCCAGGCCTGAACAGCACTGAGAGAACAGAGAGGACGCTCATGTCCGGGGCCCCACGCGGGGCTGGAGAGCACAGTGAGGGTGTGCCCTGTGCACCTGCAGGTCGGGGACAGCAGGAGGGCCTGGGAGCAGAGGGCGGGTCTGTTGTGTTCTCTGTCGTGTTCCCCTCCTGGAACACTGAAGAGTCCACAGCCGTAACAGCTGTTTGAAAATGCACAAGAGAGAACCTTTCGTTATCAGAAATAACATGACTGTCCAAGGTTAAGAAGAAAATGTTGCTATGCTGTTCCCTAGAATGGTGACTCCTTTCCACTGCATGCCTGAAAGTGTCAGATGTAAATTTCTGCTCGGTGACTTTTTTGATAGTCTGTATGAAAAATGTTACGGCAAAATTTCTAGGAAACTCAAAACAAACCATATAATCTACATTTTCTTTTTGTACTAAATTTTAATTCCTAGAAAGAGGTAGGTCAAGAATACATTGGAAATCTGATTTCATACCAGATCCTAATGAAAAAGAATGAATTTTATCTGTCTTGTAAAACTAGGTTTGTTTTTTTTTTCGTTAGTACATAATTTGAAAAGTTTATTAGCTTCACACTAGCCACTGTCAGCATTAGGCAAGCAGTCAGTTCTTAGAAAATGTTAGCAGGTTGCTCTTGGCTGGGCTTTGCTTCCATGCCTGCTTTACTAAAACTTAAAAATATCCTTTGCTTTCTGTATTGATATATTATCCTCATGAGGCTTCCTCTGGCTGCCAGGCTGCAGAAACTTCTTCACATTGGGCAGGTTGCTGATTCTGGTTTTCAGGGCCTGCAATGCAGAGAGCACAGCCTCAGAGTGCAGCCCAAAGACCAAAGCAATTATTAGACAACCCAGGAAATCTGAGCCCTGCCACTCTACACACAGAACACGCCCCCTTCAGCAGGACTGTGGCGGCTGGGAACACACACCAGAGAAATGAAGATACGAGGAGAAATGAAGATATGGGAAAACTGAGCTGGGAATGAAGACACAAGATAATGAAAGCAAACCCTGGGGCCAGTCAGAGCAATTTTCCCACTGAGAGGTGGAGAGGGGGGTGGGCAGGAGTGTACAGAGGAGGCCTGGGCAGAGAGGAACACAAGGTCCCATGGCAGGGGACGGAGCCTAGGGAAGGAAACCAGATGGAAAGAGACCTGCTCAGACAGACTCAGTGTGGGACGACAGGGGCACCCCTGGGATGAAGGGACTCCCAGAGAAATCGGGCACAGAGACTGCCATAGATGGGAGTCCAGGAGATGCTGGGTTCTGGGTCCTTTCCATTGCAAAAGGTAAAATATTCTTATTGGGGTCGCACCCCCTCAAATTTCCATGCCATAGCAAGCAACACGGGTTGCTTTCACGCCTCACAACCAGGGTCTGGAAGCTCATTTTGGAGACCTGGGGGCAGTGCCAGCCTGGAGGAGGCTGGGGTCTGAATGTCACCAGTCCAAGGGCCCCAATACCACGTTCCCTCATGGGAGCTGTGGGGCTGCCTCTCTGGGGGCTGCGAGACAGTGACACTGATCACCTTCAGCAGAGGGAAGTTGGCGGTGAGGCTGGGGTCAAACTCTTCCAAGTTGTAGATAAGTTCAACCAGGTGAATGTCAGCCCGGCTCAGCCTGTTGCCAACCAGGTAGTCTTGTCCGTGGCTCTTTAACACCTGGGGGGTTGGAGGCATCAGATCAGGGACACAAGCACGGTCAGGCTGGGCACCTGCTTGTCCCCGAGCCTCTCCAGCCTGACCCTCCCACCTCCGCGTCCTCACTGGCAGGCGTTAAGACCCAGACCTTTCTCCACAGTCCCTGATCCATGAGCGAGAGTGAGAAGCGGGCTCTGCTCCCTGCTCCCCTCCTCGGCTCCCGTGTCCTCTGCTCGTTCCCACAGCCCTGCAGAGTTCACCCCTCCCGCCCTCGCTGGCATCTTCCACGTGTGCCCGGGTCTCAGCACCAGCTGCGGCATGTTCTGTGTGCCCCGCGCCCTACAGCAGCCCCGACCTTCCAGGACGTGGCTCTGTTCTCTGCCGTCTCTCTCTCTGCAGTGTCCCTGGACAGCCCTCTCCACCCAGGAGGACACCTCTCCCCCTTCCCTCCTCATTTCCTGGTCTATATGCTGGGATCTGAAGGAAACCTGGGTGACCTTGAATTCATCACTTCCCTTGCAGACTTGGCTCTGACCCCTAACCTGCACTGCATTGTAATTTGCAAGCTGAAATGTCTAGGGGTGAACTGCATGGATGCCTGAAACTTACTTTGAAATGTAAAAATAATCTTACTCCACATCCCCTGGCCACCATTCCTGTTTAGACACTTCTCATCCATCTCTGCAGCACTACAATACCTTCGTGATGGGCAGCTGGTCTCATGTTCCCCTACACATGGGGCCAAAATACGGTCTGCTATATTGCTTTCGCCATGTTCATCTTGAAGGAAAGCCCATGGTCCTGTAGAAACTCTAGTCTCGACCAGCATCTCGTATGGCTCAGAGCCTTGCACAGCCCACATTGTACTATGACAGTAACATTCTGTTACATACAGAATTCTAGACTTGGGTCTAGGAAACTGAAATTTTGCTGGAAAATCATAATTTGCGTATAAGTAGCACAATTCTTCAACATCTATTTTTAGAAAATGCCTTGAGCGTCAGGGAGCTGCACTTAGGTTCAGGAAGTCTCACTGAAAGTGAAGGTCACTGCCTCATGAATGCCCAGCATTATTCCTTTTGCTCTCTAAACTCAGCGACTGGAAATGCTGAACAGCTGCACTTACTTTTTCAAAGGCAGGGAAATAGCGATTGGTTGTTTGCTCTTTGATCAGGGCCAGCCGGTTGACTTGCTCCTCAGGTGTATATTCGAGCAGCGTAACGATCATTTCGTTCAAATCCGCCATACCTTCTATATACATATCGATCCTGAGGGACAATGCAGGCTGTTAAACGCCCCTTATCTTAGGTTTTATGGTTTAAAATTTTAAGAGAATAGAGCATCAGGTGGTGACGATGGCATTCACCTGCAGTAGGTATTTTTTAATAGGTCATTCAATTTGATGTGATTTTTACGTATATCAACGTTTATTACAAAAACACCCTATCGGGGTAGATGTGTTTCAAAAATTTTTGCTACACACATGATCAAATACAGGTTCAAAGAGCATTGGTGACCCCCTCCCTAAGTTACAGTCATAAGAAAAATGGATGGATTCCCTGCAAGTAACCACCCATACTGCACTAAATTTGCCATTTCTATTTTTGGTTGTTCTGTTCTGTTCATAAGCTTAGTGTGACTAAGGAAAAGTGAACGATTCCAACGAGGTTATATTTTGAGTTGTGAGCTGTCATCCCAACTGGGTAAAGACCCCAGAACTTGGGTCATCCTGAATCCATCTGGCTTCTTCAGACTTGTGTCAAAATGTTAAGGTCAACACAGCTTCTTAGACACCAGGCTGTACTAACCCTGGTCAAGTGACCAGTCCATGTAACTGGTTGATAACTGAGTTACCTGGTCATCATTCTTCAAATTACTGAAACCTGAAATTCAGCTCCTTTGGATTGTCCCCTCCCCAGGCTGTCATCTACACACCCTCAAGCAATCCCTCTTTATCCCTACCTGCTGGCTGGAACTCAGCTCCTAAAGGCCTAAGCACCTGGAATCAGGATTCCACCACCCTCTTGAGTTCACCAGTGTTTGGAAGCGTCTGTCACGGCGCTACACCCGTGGGCTGCACCCTCTCGCATGATCACACTCGCCTGAACCCTCCCACGTTCCTCGTCCCTCACGTCCACAGGACTCTGCCACCCTGGAGCTCAGCGCACGTGCCCACGGCCCAGCCTGCTGCTGTCCTCACCCCTGCACGGTCCTGCTCGCTCGAGGCAGGACCTCAAGCCCTCCCAGGTTATCCGCTGGTGTGAGGACAAAAAATGTACCTACAGGGCTCTCTCCTTTAAGTCCTTCCCGTAGAGGTTGTGCTTGCTGGCGATGTAATTAAGAATAGCTCTCCTCTGCACCAGCTCCATCCCATCGATCTCCACCATGGGCACTTGCCCGAACATCAGCCGCCCGTCTTCGGGAAGAAGGAAAGAAAAGAGAGAGGGAGAGGACTAAGGGTCCCGCTCCTCTTAGAATGAAAAAGCATTTGGTGCAATGATAAAAGATTAAAAAAATAAAACATCGAATTATTGTCCGGTACACTTTCAACTCAAAGAGCATTTGGTTTTTAGTGTCTTATAGTCCTTTTTTCTCATCAATCTCTATTTTGCTTTTTAGCCTTTTCATTTCCTACTCAGTGGTAGGTCCCCCGTATTTTTTGTGTTGCTTTATCTTCGTGGATATTTTAGGAAGAAACTGGGAGAGGCTACAACAGGGCTGCCATGCGAATGTCATTTAAAATGGGAAGTTCTGAAAATAAGTCTCGTGGTGTTCACGACATTTAACATAGTCTGGCTCAAAGGCACTCTAGCCGGGGCAACAGAGTGAGAGTCTGTCTCAAAAAATAAAATAAAATAAAACAGGAAGTTCTAAAGGTAAGTCTCACAGTGTTCACGACATTTAAGGTAGCCTGAGAGAAGTTTCTACAAGCAGGCCCCTTTCTGTGCTCTTCAAAGCCTATAATATTGCCAAGACATCACCTTGTCAGTCAGGGAACAGTAAAGAACTCAAGATGGACCTGTTATCTACTGCTTCTCTCTAATGCATGTCCTTGTCTGGGGGTGCTGGGAGGGACCCTGAGCTATCACAGCTCAATCACGGTGCAGAAAGCACGAGAAAGCAGGGGGAGGGCATTCTCAGGGCACTGGGGATGGTTCCTTTAGCAAATACTCACAGAGGTCGGGATCTTTTCACTCTGAAAGTTGGCAGACCTGCTCCGGGAGACACTTCTTTCCATTTTAACCACTTTGCTCCCTCTCCACTACCCCAAATCACCACCCCCACAGACGTTGCCTGGTGTTAAGACCTCCCCATGTGCCTTCTCCTAGATTCCCGCACAGAGGCATTTACATACTTGCTCTTACCATTTCTTAACTTGTCCAAATCTTCTTCTGTTTCTATAAATACCTCTTCGAACTGAAGGCAAAAACAGCAAATGGGCTCTTGTTAGTTCATCCCATAGCATAACAGACTTTTAAAGTTGCATGCCCCAGTCCAGAACATGACATGGAGAAGGTTAAGATTTCTGGGTTTTGCAGATACACAGATTAGTCTGGTCATGGACGTTCGGAAATTTAGACTAGACCCCTAAAGAAAAGAGTCTGCAACATGGCACATAGCTGATCCTTCTTGTATTTCACTTCACTCCCACCCTGACCTCACCAGCGTCTGTCATTGGGTCATGATTTCGAAGCAGAACTCACTGGAGGGAAGGGACTGAGATGTTATTTTGGTTAATGTGTTGCAATATCTCGGGAAAACCCGTGTGTCCAGGAGAGATCAGAGAAGAACCTGGGTGTGGCCGCATGGACTGTGCGATGGGCCGACCACCGTCTATGATTCTGCCACCAGGGTTTCTACTGAAATTTCTATCACTCTTTCCCATTTCATAGTTTAAAAGGGCTTCTTAATCTAGGAAAGACCAGGAATTTGTGGGTTTCTAATGTGCTCCATGGAACGGACTTTGTAGCCGATCTGTGACCACGCAGGGTCATGGTATAATCCTAGGTGTAAATGTATGATAGAGGTGTCTAAGTGAGGAGGGGTGTGTGCCAGCAATTAACAAAGCGTCCACTTGAAGACAAACAGAGGGGTGGCGGTTGGTCACAGCAAGAGGTGGGATGGAGTTGGCCAGTGTGGTGAGTTTTTGTTTATTGTTGGTTTCTTTGAGACAGGTCTCACTCTCTCACACAGGTTAGAGTGCAGTGTCATCATCATAGCTCACAGCAACCACAAACTCCTGGGCGCAAGCCATCCTCCTGCCTCAGCCTCCCGAGTAGCTGGGACTACAGGCGTGAGTCACTAAGGCTTGCTAAGTTTTTCTTTTTTTTTTTTTTCCCAAAGATAGGAAAAGCTAAATCGCCACACATTGCAGGCCAGGGTCTCCTACTAGATGGAAGAAAAATGCAAAGGTCATCTTCTTGGCCACAAAAGACCTGGTGTAATATGTCCTTTTTCAAGGTTTGCGATAACAGGTCTTTAAACAAACAAAGAAAAATCAGCTATTAATTATTTTGCTTCTCTGCCAAGGCTTGGGCAGAGGCTGGCTTTCTTAACTTAGTCTTAATTATTATGGGCACATATGGTGTACTTTTGTAAGGGTACATGTGATGTTTGATACAGGCATTGTATGATGCTGAATTGATAAAAAGTAAGGTTATTGAGTATCCTTCACTCAGGCATGTTATCGATTTCTTTGGGTTAGGCACATTCCTATTCAATCTTCAGTGATTTTAAAAGTATACCCTAACTTCATGTTGATTATGAGTCACTTTGCTTGTGCCGTCAAAATTATCGTTCATTTTCTATTAACTATCGTAACATATTTTTGCACCCTAACCCACCCCATCTCCCCCTCTCTGCTACCCTTCCCAGCATCTGCGTAACATCATTCTTACCCTGTCACCATGAGATCAATTGTGCTTGAACGTATTAGCTCCCAGCATATGAGTGAGAGGCATGCAATGATTTGTCTTTCTGTGCCTGGGCTTATTTCATTCGATATGATTTCTCCAGTTCCATCCACAGTGTTGTAAATGGGGTAGATGATTCATATTTGTGGCTGTATCATATTCATTGTGTATATATATCAACAATTTCTTCATCGCGATTTCACCACTTGATGGACACTGGTATGCCGATTCCAAATCTTGGGCTAACTGTAAATATCACTTCAATACACAGGGAGGGCAGATTTCTTTTATGAATATATGAAATTTCCCATCCTTTTGGATATATACCTGGCAGGGGACTGCTGGTCTAATGGGGTTCTATTTTAGCGTTTGGAGAAATTCCACACTGTTCGTCCAAGTGGGATGCATGCTGATTAGATTCCCACCAACAGGTGTGCAATGGGTTCCCCCTTCTGCCACGATCCTCTCTCAACGTTCATTATGTGCCTGTCTTTGATAAGACCAGTAACTGGGTGGAGGATGTCTCATTGTTAGTTTGGATTTGCCATCTTTTTGATGATTTAAAGAGTTAAGCACTTATTCATTTTTAATACCCCTTGGTCTGTATTTATATCTTTCTTTTGTGAAGAAGGTCGTATCCAGATCCTGGTTTGCCCCATTTTTTTTATTTTTTTTTTTATTGTTAACACGCACTTTGGTGATGACGTTGCCATTTTTTTAATCGAGACCCAGGTTTTTCTTATGAGTTGTTGGAGCTGCTCATATGATCCTACTTATTAATTCTCTGTCCGTTGGGTATTTTTTTGCAAATATTTTGTTTTATTCCAGGTTGCTTTTACTGTTCCTGATTGTTTCCTTTGCTGGCAGAACGGAGTTGATTGGTCCATTTGAAGCTTGCATGATTGCGAGCTGGGCAGGTGTCAGCATCATGTGCGCGATGCAGCCCTGGGCGACCCAGGCAGGGCCATGCCCCCCACCGCTGGAGCTCACAGGACAGGAGTGGACACAGTGGCCCCAAGGTCGACGAGGGTTCCAGGGCTCTGTGGAGGGCAGAGGAGAGGCCACAAGGGTTGGGAGGGAAGCGTGACCAGTTGGGAAGTTTTTGAAAAGGGAGCCTGCCAAGCAGGCTGCGCAAGATGGCCCAGGCAGGAAGGCAAGAGGCCCAGCCCACGCCTTCTGTGGGGGTGACAGGCTGGAGATTAGGGGGGTGAGGAGGGGGACAGGACCCGATTCTGCCTGCCCAATGGGGATCACTGGAGAATTTTCAGATAAGTGAGCGTTAGATTGAGTAGAAAAAAACCACTCCGGGGGCCAGGTGGAGAAGAGTATAGAGGAGACACTGCAGTCAGGGGGAGCCTGTGAGATTCTGGTCTGCCCCCTCACCCCTTCTCAACTGGGGGGCTCCCCCTGAGAGCAGCGAGGCGCTCAGTGGTGCCAACATGCCAGATCCCCAGGGAGTACACCGAGTCCACTGTGGCCCAGGCATGGGGCTGAAGCTAGAAATGTCTTCTAACTCAAGCAGTCTGGCCCGGTGACAAGCAGCGGAAAAATGATTGTCTTACATGTATTTATTTATATGTATTAATTAATTTCACATTGCATAGTGTTATTTTGAAGGCCTGGGCTGAGCGGGCACCGAGAGAACGAGAGACCGTCATGTCCGGGCCACGCGGGCTAAGGAAGCACAGTGCAGGGGTGGGCCTGCCTGCAGGCAGCGGACAGCAGGCGGGGAGCAGGAGGGCGGGGTCTGTTGTGTTCTCTGTTTGCGCTGTTTCCCCTCCTGGAACACTGAAGAGTCACAGCCGTAAGCACTGCTTGCTTTGAAAATGCACAGAGGAGAAAACCTTTCGTTATCAGAAAGTAACATGACTGCTCAATGTTAAGAAGAAAAGTGTTGCTATGCGGTTCCTAGAATGGGTACCTCCTTCCACTGCTATGCGGCTGAAGAAGGCAGAGAAATTTGCTGCCGTTGACTTTTTGATAGTCGTCGATTGAAAAAATTTACGGCAAAATTCTAGAAACTCAAAACGAGAACCATATAACGTACATTTTCTTGTACAAGTTTATATCCTAGAAAGAGGTAGTCAGAATACATTGGAAATCTGATTTCATACCAGATCCTAATGAAAAAGAGATGATTATCTGTCTGTAAATATTTTTGGTTTTTTTTTCGTTAGTACATAATTTGAAAGTTTATTAGCTTCACACTAGCCACGTCACATTAGCAGCAGTCAGTTCTTAGAAAATGTTAGCAGGTTGCTCTTGGCTGGGCTTTGCTTCCATGCCTGCTTTATAAACTTAAAAATATCCTTTGCTTCTTCTGTATGATATATTTCCTCATGAGGCTTCTCTGGCTGCAGCTGCAGAAATCTTCACATTGGGGGAGGTTGCTGATTCTGGTTTTCAGGGCCTGCAATGCAGAGAGCACAGCCCTCAGAGTGCAGCCCCAAAAGACCAAAGCAATTATTAGACACCCAGGAAATCGGAGCCCTGCCACTCTACACCAAACAGCCCCCTTCACCAGGACTGTGGGCGCTGGGAACACACAACCAGAGAAATGAAGATACCAGGAGAAATGAAGATATGGGAAAACTGAGCTGGGAATGAAGACACAAGATGATATGAAGCAAACCCGGGGCCAGTCAGAGCAATTTTCCACTGGAGAGTGGAAGACGGGGGTGGGCAGAGTGTCAGGGAGGCCTGGGCAGAGAGGAACACAAGGTCCCATGGCAGGGGACGGAGCCAGGGAAGGAAACCAGATGGAAAGAACCTGCTCAGACAGACTCAGTGTGGGACGACAGGGGCACCCCTGGATGAAGGGACTCCAGAGAAATCGGGCACAGAACTGCAATGGAATGGGAGTGGAGGATGCTGGGTTCTTGGGTCCTTTCCATTGCAAAAGGTAAAATATCTTATTGGGTGCACCCCCTAAATTTCCATGCCATAGCAAGCATCTTTTTCATGCCTCACAACCAGGGCTGGAAGCTCATTTTGGGAGACCTGCTGGAGGAGGCTGGGGTCTGAATGTCACCAGTCCAAGGGCCCAATACCAGTTCCCTCATGGAGTTGGGCTGCCTCTCTGGGGGCTGCAGACAGTGACACTGATCACCTTCAGCAGAGGGAAGTGGCGGGTGAGGCTGGGGTCAAACTCTTCCAGTTGTAGATAAGTTCAACCAGGTGAAGTCGCCCGGCTCAGCCTGTTGCAACCAGGTAGCTCTGTCGTGGCTCTTTAACACCTGGGGGGTTCGAGGCATCAGATCAGGACACAAGCACAGTCAGGCTGGGCACCTGCTTGTCCCCGAGCCTGTCCAGCCTGACCCTCCCACCCTGGTCCTCACTGGCAGTGTGAGACCCAGACCTTTTTCCATGGTCCCTGATCCATGAGCGAGAGTGAGAACGGGCTCTGCTCCCTGCTCCCTCCTCGGCTCCCAAGTCCTCCTCGTTCCACAGCCTTGCAGAGTTCACCCTCCGCCCCTCGCTTGCATCTCCTTCATGGTGTGGGTC